TAGTCAAGCTTGACTAGTCCTTTTTCTACGCAATCTCTCAAAAAGTGATGACGTATATGAATATGTTTTGTCCGAGAATGCATGACCGGATCCTTTGAGATGCTAATAGCACTTGTATTATCACACATAATTAGTGTGCATTTTATATCAACTCCGTAGTCGCTTAACTGTTGCATGATCCACAGTGATTGAGAGCAGCATGATGCAGCAGCTACGTACTCAGCCTCCGCTGTTGAGAGTGCTATTGAATTTTGTTTCTTAGAACTCCATGAAACTAGACACGGACCCAGGAAATGAGCAGTTCCAGACGTGCTTTTTCTATGTAATAAATCACCTGCAAAATCAGAATCTGAATATGCAATTAGTTCAAAATTCTCATTACGTGGATACCACAGGCATAAATCAGCCGTTCCTTTGAGATATTTGAGGATCCTTTTCACAGCCTTGAGGTGAGATTCTTTGGGATTAGCCTGGAACCGAGCACATAGACCTACGCTAAAAACAATATCAGGTCTACTGGCAGTGAGATATAATAGGGACCCAATCATTCCTCGATACATCTTTTGGTCTATACTCTTTCCTTGTTCATCCGCATCTAGCCTATCATTTGTTCCCATAGGTGTAGTCATGGTTTTGCCTTCACTCATTCCGTACTTCTTTAGGAGTTCCTTGAGGTACTTTTGTTGAGATATTTGAGTTCCTTTGCTTGATTGCTTGATTTGTAGGCCAAGGAAGAAATTAAGTTCCCCCATCATACTCATCTCAAATTCGGAACTCATAAGAGAAGAAAACTCATCACAAAGAGATTCGTTAGTAGCACCAAAAATAATATCATCAACATAAACTTGAACAACCAATAGGGCTTGATCTTTTATTTTTAGAAACAGAGTTTTATCTATTTTTCCTTTTTCAAAATTGTTTTCCAAAAGAAATTTGGATAGGCGTTCATACCAAGCACGAGGTGCTTGTTTGAGGCCATAAAGTGCTTTATCTAATTTGAAAACATGATTAGGAAAATCTTGATTTTCAAAGCCCGGTGGTTGTTCTACATATACCTCTTCCTTTAGATATACATTCAAGAAGGCCGTCTTGACATCCATTTGGTGGAGGGTGAAACCCATATGAGCCGCAAATGCTATGAGCATTCGAATTGCTTCTAGTCTTGCCACCGGTGCAAATGTTGCGTTGAAGTCTATTCCTTCTTGTTGGTTATAACCTTTGACAACAAGCCTAGCTTTGTTCCTTGTGATTTGACCATGTTCATCGAGCTTGTTCTTTTTTTTCGATAACATGTAAGTATATTAGAAATCGAAAAATAGCATTTTACAATGCATCAAATCCAAGTCAAAATGACTATCTAAGCTAGAATAAACTAACCTAGATATAATGCATCAAAATAATGGGACAGACCCCACCTCACAAATTAATGTTACAAATAGTCTCTCAAATTCAAGATTTGGACCAATTAAAATCAAACAAGTTCCTAATCTAAACATCCAAAGAAAGCCTGGAAAGGAGTAGTGAATTTAGCATCAAAACAAACCTCCCCTTTCTTCTTTGTAACTCCCGGTAATCCCTCAAGACATCTTGCGGTGAAAGTTAAGCCTTTTTTATCCAAATTGTGCGTGAGTCGAAGGGAAGTATCCACTCGAATCACATCAGCCCGCACAAATCTAAACGGTTTGACAACCAACTTGAGTGTCTTACCGTTAACCATCTCACATTTGATGACGACATCATGTTGGTGCAAATCATTCTCATCCGTAACTACCCTCTCAATATCTTCCAAAGCGGCCACAGATTGTTCATTGGAGCTTATCGCAACTTCTGGAGACCTCTGGACAACCTGGGAATCAGACTGCCGTTTAAACCCGGTCGGGTTTGTGGCTGGCCCGGTCGGGTTAAGACCCTGGACAATCATTTTTTCATGAGACCCGGTCGGGTTAGGGCTTGGCCCGGGCGGGTGGACCTCCTGGGCAGATTCTGCCAGTTGGGCAGCGGGTTCAACTTCCACAATCTCCGCAGGTATGTTTTCCTCTCCCCCAATTTGTATTTGTTCATCTTCACCTTTCTCACTTGATTTCACCGTATCATCGTCCTTTTTTGCTAGCTTATTGCAAGTAAACGGGTGGTGCCCATATATCTTACAATGGAAGCAAAAATTTGGAAATGTTTCATACACCACAAATTGTTTAACTACCTTCCGGCATGGTAGTCGAATAGAAAATGAAAGTGGCGGTGGCTTCGAAATATCCACTTCAATAAGCACTCTAGCAAAGTGGTGATTAGACCTATCATGTGTGACTTTGTCCGTAGCCAATGGGACACCAACCATGGATGCAATCTCACTCAAAGCATCCTCATTCCAAAGTTTCAAGTGTAAGTTAGGGAATTTAACCCAAATAGGTACTTTGAGAAACTCTTCATCATCAAAGGAGAAATCATCCGATAGTTCTTTTAACATAAGTAGTTTCCCAAAAATGGTGTAAGGTCCCTCTTTCAACACTTTTGTCCTATCATCTTCACTTTGAAATTTAAATATAACCCAACCCTTATCATGGGGCTTAATAATGCACTTAACACCCCATGTGTTCTTCAAATCATAAATCGCTTTTAGACCGGGAAACTTTCCGGTGAAACAACCGACTAGACAAAAACCCCACATTTCAACCATACTAGGCATAATTCTATCAGAAAAGTCAATGGTTGTGCCACTAGGTGGGATGTACCTCAATTTAAAGCCATTTGAGGGTGCCCGATTGTCCTTAAAAAGGGAGGACCAAGGAGTAGCAGTCCCTGAGCTAGCCAACTCCCCTGGTGCAGTAGCCAGTCCAGGCTGAGCAGAACCGGCCTTCCCAGTTTCAGCAGCACTTCCAGGTTTGGAAGCAGAAACGGGCTTCCCAGGAGTAACCGTCGCTCCCGCATTTGTGACAGTCTTCCCGTCCCCTGCCTTCATAGCAGTTCCAACCAGAGCTGGGAACTCATTGTCCAATTCCTCCAACACAGAGAAGGTGGACCTAGTAATCCTTGTTGTGGACGCCTCACCAGTTCCCTGTATCTTCTTTCTCGCCATGGAAGAGGAAGCCACTCTCAGCGCAAAGAACAGTAACAATAGCAACTCAAACTTACGCAGTTGGCTTTTCAGCCGTCATCTATCGCACAACGCTAAAATCAAAACTCATGAAAGGATTCAGAAACGATTTGAACCTTAATACAGCAGTACAACACAAATAGATTCAGTCCCCTGAAACGGGACTTTCCATTTCACTGCGAGCAGTGTTTTCGCGATGAACAGTAATCGCGATTCTTTGCGACAAAATCGGCTGTAACAGGTCTTCCACGTTCAAATCCAAGCACGGAATCAGAACATGACGATTAAGATGAACCGAAATAAACCAGATATCTATCCAAATCCATCTAAAAATCCAAAGGAATCGAGTATAGTGTATAAGCGTAGAAGAGCCTCACGAAGAGGGAGAGAATCAGCTCTCAACTTCATCGAGCTTGTTCTTGAATACCCACTTGAGACCTATCACGGTCTTGTTCTTGGGTCTCGGTTCTAGATGCCACACCTTATTTCTTTCAAACTGATTTAGTTCTTCCTGCATAGCTAGAACCCAGTCAGTGTCGGAGAGAGCCACTTCATGGTTCTCCGGTTCTATAAGAGATAAATAAGAAGAGAAAGCACAAAAGTTTTTAAGTTTAGATCTGGTTGTTACTCCCTGATTTAGATCGGTCAGGAGGTTATCCAGCGGATGTGATCTATGAAGCTTCCAACCCCTAGGCGCATTAGGTTGATCCACCAAGTTGTAGAGCGTATCTAAGACTGGTTCTACCGGTTCTATAGGTCCAGTGCCCGTGTGTCGTTCAGGTTCGTCCTCTGTTCCAGATTGTTCATTTTCAGTTGTTAGAGGTGGATCATCGATTTGATTGTCAGTTCCTTCATCTCCTTGAGATGGTGATTTCTTGCGAGTGATTCCTAGTTCTCCATCATCGACTTGAATTGATGTTGAGGCAAGTGCTTCATCAAAGATTACATGAATGCTTTCCTCCACACATTGTGTGCGTTTGTTTAGAACTTTGTAGGCCTTGCTATGTGGGGAATATCCGAGAAAGATTGCCTCGTCACTTCTAGCGTCAAATTTGCCGATGTTATCCTTACCATTGTTGTGAACGAAACATTTGCATCCAAAGGTTCTTAGATGGCTTATGTTGGGCTTTCTTCCCTTGAGCAGTTCGTAGGGTGTCTTCCCTAGGAGTGGGCGAATCATGGCTCGATTAATGATATAACATGCTGTGTTTAGAGCCTCGGCCCAGAAGCTCCTAGCTAGACCGCTGGAAATAAGCATAGTTCTAGTCATGTCCTCTAGTGTTCTATTCTTCCGTTCTACCACTCCGTTCTGTTGTGGAGTTCTAGGTGCGGAGAAGTTGTGGTCTATCCCTCGTTCTTTGCAGAAGGCATCGAAGAGAGAATTGTCAAACTCAATTCCATGATCCGATCGGATCTTGATTAGTTGTAGACCTGTTTGATGCTCAATTTTCCTTACAAAAATAGCAAACTCATTAAAGGTATCTTTCTTGCTAGCAAGAAAGATAGTCCATGTAAATCTTGAAAAGTCATCAACAATAACTAGAACATATTCTTTATTTCCTCGGCTACGGACAGACATTGGACCACACAAATCCATGTGAATCAGTTCTATGGGCTTGCTTGTGCTCACCAAATTCTTTGTTTTAAAGGATGATCGAGATTGTTTTCCGGTGGCACAAGCCGAGCAAACATGGTCAAGTGAAAATTTCATATTGGGCAGTCCAATGACTAAATCATTATTTTTAAGTTTATTTATTAGTGAAAAACTAGCGTGTCCAAGCCTTTTATGCCATAGCAAAGGATCATTATCAATAACACTCAAACAAGTCATACTAATATTAGGCAATGAATCAAGATCTACTTTATATGTATTTTCGAGCCTCTTGCCTTCAAGTATAACTTGTTGTGACTTGTTACTAACAATGCGACAAACGTTATGATAAAAAACAACACTATTACCTCGATCGCAAAATTGAGAAATACTTAGTAAATTAAATTTCAAGACCTTGACTAAAAATACATTATCAATAGCATGGCTAGGTGATTTTCCAACTTTTCCCACGGCTATGATCTCTCCTTTGCCGTTGTCTCCGAATGTCACCTTTCCACCGTTAAATGGCCGAAGTGAGAGGAATAAAGATTTGTCTCCCGTCATGTGCTTAGAACAACCACTGTCAAGGAACCAGTGATTGTTCCCCCTCACTCGGCGCTGTTCCAGGTTTAAGGTTTAGTGCGTGGAACCCAGACCTGCTTGGGTTCCATTTTGTTTTTATTTGAGGAAGATCTAACATAATCATAGCATCTATCTAGGGTCTCTTGCCGAGAGTAACATTGATACCGAAGATGACCGATTTTGCCACAATGCATGCAAACTCGGTTATCATAAGTATCAACGTATTTGGGTTTCCATTTACCGTGAAAGCCTCTAGTTCTTTTGTAAAAGGTCCGGTTAGGCGTTTGTCCATAACCGTTTTTGTGCCTCTGAACCAGTCTATCGAACCAGTTTGGTCCAGTTCTAGGTGGCTGTTGATATGGTCTAGAACTGGGTTGTCCTTGGGTTCTTTTATCCTTAAAGGGTTGGTTCTGAAAATTTGATTTTTGATTAGATCGGATATCCTTTGGAACATATCCGAGATCTGCAGTCTTATTGTGCTGAGAAGGATCAGTTCCAGAATGATGTCTAGACCTGGTTTTGTTCGTTGCACTATAGGATTGATATTCCGGTCTATTTTTAAAATCAGTGCACTCGGCAACAAGACGATGAAGATGATCAATTAAACAACCAACACTCGGTATTTTTGAGAGAAGCTTTTCATCATGATCAACTTGTTTGTTCATACTATCGAGCTTAAGAGAGCAAATAATTTGATCTTGTTCTAGAACCACTTTACTGTACTTAAGCCTTTCATCTATTAACTCTCCCACTTTTGTTTCAAGCCTTATTTTGGCTCTCGTGGCTTCCTCGAGTTTAGACTCAAGCTCAGTGATACGTGATTTAAGATGATCATTTTCGGAAAGACTTTCATTAAGCTCAATAGTCAACCTTTTGAAAATTTTCCGAGTTTTGGTTTTGGATAGAGAGTCAAACTTGGACAGGAAATTTTCAAAGTTTACCTCAAAGCTTTCTTGGTCGGATTCCTCGTCGGAGAGTGCCATAAGACATAGACCCGCATGATTGGAGTTCTTATCATTTTCTTCTTCTTCATCATCGGATGAGTTTCCCCATGCGGCCATCATTGCCTTCTTGAGATCTCTATTGAAGCTTTTGTCTTCACTGAACCTCCGGTTGGAACTGGACTTGTTCTTGTCGTAGGTTTTCTCATTTTTCTTTTGTGGGCAGTCCTTAGCCCTGTGCTCAAAGGAACCACAAACAAAACAACCTTGGTTATTAAAGGATTGAGTATTCCTTTTACCTTGTTTGGCGCGATTGTTCTTGAACTTTCGGTACATCCTTCCGAATTGCTTCGCAAACATGCTCATCTCATCATCCGACTCACTTTCGGATTCTTCTTCTTCTTCTCGAGCCTTAAGAGCTATTCCTCTTTCTCGCCTAGCACTCTCAGCATCTTGTTCCTCTTGAAGACCCAGTTCATATGTCAAGAGTGATCCGGTCAGATCTTCAAGAGTCATGGTGGATAGATCTTTTGCTTCTTCAATGGCCGTGGTTTTAGGCTTCCATACTGGGGGTAAGCTTCTCAGGATTTTTCTAACTTGATCCTCCACTGTAATATCTCTTCCAAGGGCTGAAAGCTTATTGATAATGTTAGTAAAACGTGTGATCATATCCTTAATTGACTCTTTTGGCTTCATTACGAATAATTCGTAATTACGCATGAATATGTCAATCTTAGATTTTTTCACACGTGAGGTTCCCTCATGAGTAACCTCGAGCAAGTCCCTCATTTGTTTGGCAGTCTTGCATCCTAGAACTCGATTGTGTTTGGAAGGACCAAGACCACAAATTAAATATTTAAGAGCTTGGGCATTATGCTCGAGTTTCTCATAATCTTGAGAAGTATATTCAGCTTTAGGTTTAGGAACAACATTACCTTCGGCGTTTCTCTTTGTGATGGCATTATCACCACTCTCTATAACATTCCAAACCTGATAGTTATCGGCTTTGATAAAGTTTTCCATCCGACTCTTCCAGAATTGATAGTACTTGCCATTGAACAATGGTGGTCTTTGAGTTGAGTACCCTTCTTCCAATCGGTCAACCGTATTCATTTTGCCGGATCTCTTCCCAAGGTATTAGCCTTTATGTGGTGAAGACCGGCTCTGATACCAATTGATGAAAACGGTTAGCAACACAAGAGGGGGGGTGAATTGTGTGTGTGTGGAACCGTGGCAGTTTTTCGCCGAGTTCTAGTGTGGGATAAAGGGAATTGCAAAATAGTAAAGTGCACAAGAATTTAACGAGGAAAAATCCCTTGGCTCAAAGGGATTAAAAAACCTCGACCTCCCTCGGAGGAATTTTAAACAACTTCACTAAACAAGCCTTTGAAAGAGTTACAAGAGTGATTCTCCTAATCTACCCTTGAGCCTCCCCCAACTCTATCCTCTCTAGGAAGAGTTATGCATCTCTACCTTGTGGGTAGAGAGCCTCTCAGCTTTATCACAAAGCTCTCACACACACTTAACCCGAGGCAGCTACTCTAGCCAATTAAGCCTCAATATTCCAAGTACAATATGAAGGGGAAAAGAGAAACTCTATGTTGGGATATATTATCCCGGCCTATTACTGTTCAGGAGCCCAAGACATTATCCAGTACGGAGCCCGAGCAGCTAGGCCCATTTCGGCCTAGCCGGCCCACTTTGACCACCAAGCCTGATATCGGCCCGTTTGGCCCATTAGGGTGGAGAGCCCCTTCTCTCCTTCCCCTATAAATACGGAGCTTAGCCTCCATGTAAAGGATCTCTTTCCTTCTCCAACTCATTTACTTTCTCTAGAATAGCTCAATACTCCATTAATGGGAGCTTGTACAATGTAATTGTGAGGAGAGTCCTAATGAGAAAGAGAGGGCTTGGACATTAGCCTAAAAAGTCCCGTGGTTTTCTCCCTTTCGGGTTTCCACGTAAAAACTGAGTTGTTCATACACATTTATACATATATTTACTATATCGTGTTGGATTAAACTCAACACTGGCGCCGTCTGTGGGAATCTGTCCAAAAAGATTCATGTATTTCTACTGTTCTTGAGTTTCTACTGAGTTTCTACGAAAAACTCATACGAAATGGACTGAGTTCAACCAAGAAAAAACGATTCTGGAAAGCAAACAGGATGAAAGAGATCTGACGAAAAAAGGGAAGGAAAAAATTAGAAGAAGAAGAAAAAGGATTCTGGAAAAGAAAGAACGAAGGAAGCCCAGATCTGGGATTTGGCGGACCTTGGCCGGAGCAGCCAGCTGTACCGTCGCGGGAGGGTGCTTGTTGTGACTGTTGCGGAATGACCTGGGGGATGTCCGTCCAACGTGTTAGAAGACCGAGCTGCAACACTCCATTTCAGTCTGTTATTTCATCATTATATTGTCGTTGGGCATCACTCAGATCGCTGCCCGTGTCACTCAGGCCGCAGCTTGATTTCTTAATTCTAATCGCTGGGATACCCACCAACCGACTACAAGTCGCCCAACGCACGTCACCCAACCGTGGCGACGACCGGCATCAGAACCCAGATGCCCGCATTAGAACAGGGACTGCCGCCGATACAGTTGCCGCGCGGGAATAGAAACCGTCAGCGCTTCAGTCCGCCGCTCGGCTTGTTCGAAGCATGGCTCGTGTCGTCGTGCTGCCCGGCTTTGACTAACTTACTCGTCGTTCGTTCAAAGCCAAATCCCCACTGAATGTCTGCAGGAGAAAGGCCAAGTCCGTGTATAGTCACTTGGTTTCTAAGCAGGCCACGTCCGCAAAAACCCAGGCCAAGTAAAAGGACTGATTACTTGGGGAATTTGACCAAGTCAAAGTTGGGAAATTCCAATACTAAGCCGAGGCTCTCTTGGCTTAGACGTTCGTCAACTTGGGACTTAGAATTGGCTGGATAATTGGAGGCCTCGGTTCTTGAGCCAATTTGTGAGGGATTTTGACCAAAGTCAAAATTGGCATGAGAGACCTCATCTGGTTCTACAATCCCTGTTGGCAGAAGCTTTATCTCCAAAAGCTAAGTACATATATACTTACTTTCAAGTTGTTACATTTAATAGTTGATTATTCAAAAGATAATATTGCCAGTATTTTTATCACCATTATTTAAATAGGGAATAAAATCTCCCGAAATTAAATAATGTCGAGCAATGCTCTAAGTGATAATTAGTTTTCACCGTCATTTTAATTAATGAATTGGTTGTTGTGGGCCCGTCGACCCGCTCCCGATCGGCTTTAATTAGCGAGCGGGGCATATCTGAATGGCCTTTTGGTAGGATAGTATCATTACTATTACCTGCTATATCACTATTATTTATTAGGGATAAAAATGTCCCGAAAATAAATAATGCAGAGCGAAGCTTTAGTGATAATTAGTTCAACCAACTTTTTTATTAAATATTTAATTGTTGGTGGGTCCGATTAGCCCACTCTCGATCGGCTTTGATTAGCGATCTGAGCGTCTCCAGAGGGTAGTGCCCCGATGACGCGTTTTAATTTGGGGGGTTACGCATTAGTCCGCACGACACCGAGTGCTCGAGCGATGATCGTACCCTAGTACCATCTACGCCATTAGGCGCGAAGTGACTATTGCCGAATGTGGCCTATGGGGCCCGAGGGCACAAAAGCACTCAACCTCGTTTTTCCGAGGGCAGTGCGACCGACTTGGGTCTGAGTTTGAAAACTCACAGACCGATGAATATCTCTACGTGACGTTCGGCGGGCTGCTAATTGGCCCCGCCGCGAGCTGCTACGTCCCTCAACCTCGCACGATGAGCCGGGCCGAGGGTCACGCCGACCCATAGGCCGGTAATCATGGATGTTAAAGAGAAGCCAAACAGATGGCTATGTGTGTATATATATTGTCGGGCCGTGCGGCCCGTTACCATGCTTATTGTGCAGCTGAAATCACTCGACGCGCTCGAGCGAAATGATTAAACGACGCTCGGCCTGAGTCTTGAAGACGTTCAGGGCCAGCTAAAGAGGAGACCATCACGGCTGAACACCGTGAGACGAGCATCTCCACCTAGAGGCCGAGGGCCTAGAGGAGACCACTACGGTTGAGAACCGTGGGACGAGCATCCCCACCCCAGAGACTGATGGCTCGGGAAAGAACACCTTGTAGCCGAGGGTCTAGAAGGGACTACCACAATGGAGAATCGTGAGACGGTCACCCATCATTCCGAGGCCGAGGGCCTAGAGGAGATCGTCACGTCCGAGGGCCGTCTAACACCATCATACCATGACCGGCCTCTCGGCGCGGCATGTTCATGTTTGAAGACCGGCCTCGTCCCCGTGATGCGCGGACGAGGACTGTTGCTTGATTTTCTCAGATCGGCCGCTCATTGCCGACACCATTATACCACGACCGGCCTCTCGGCTCGGCGTGTTCATCTTTTGAAGACCGGCCTCGTCCCCACACCTCGCGGACGAGGACCGCTGCTTGGTTCTTTGAGGTCGGCCTATCATTGCCGACATCATTATACCACGACCGGCCTCTCGGCTCGGCGTGTTCATCTTTTGAAGACCGGCCTCGTCCCCGCTCCTCGCGGATGAGGGCCGTTGCTTGATTCTGTCAGATCGGCCTATCATTGCCGACATCATTATATCACGACCGGCCTCTCGGCACGGCGTGCTTATCTTTGGAAGACCGGCCTCGTCCCCGCTCCTCGCGGATGAGGGCTGTTGCTTGATTTTCTCAGATCGGCCGCTCATTGCCGACACCATTATACCACGACCGGCCTCTCGGCTCGGCGTGTTCATCTTTTGAAGACCGGCCTCGTCCCCACACCTCGCGGACGAGGACCGCTGCTTGGTTCTTTGAGGTCGGCCTATCATTGCCGACATCATTATACCACGACCGGCCTCTCGGCTCGGCGTGTTCATCTTTTGAAGACCGGCCTCGTCCCCGCTCCTCGCGGATGAGGGCCGTTGCTTGATTCTGTCAGATCGGCCTATCATTGCCGACATCATTATATCACGACCGGCCTCTCGGCACGTCGTGCTTATCTTTGGAAGACCGGCCTCGTCCCCGCTCCTCGCGGATGAGGGCCGTTGCTTGATTCTGTCAGATCGGCCTATCATTGCCGACATCATTATACCACGACCGGCCTCTCGGCTCGGCGTGCTTATCTTTTGAAGACCGGCCTCGTCCCCGCCACATCGCGGACGAGGACCGTTGTTTGATTCTTTCAGGTCAGCCTCTCGCTGCCGACACTATCATGTTATGTTCGGCCTCTCGGCACGACATATTTATCTTCTGAAGACCGGTTTCATCCCCGCGTTGCGTGGATGAGAGCCGTTGCTTGGATATATCGGCCTGATCGGACACTATTGTCATGTCCTTACCAGGACCGACTGCTCAGCGACCTTATGATCATTGTTTGTCGGCTCCCAATGCCGACCCTCTTGAGTTTGCGATCGGGCTCACGACTCCCCTCAAGGAGGGTGACCATCGCCTTCGCATGACGACCAGCTATTCTATCGCCTCGTCATTATATCCGTTCGCTATGCCACCACCATTATATGTGACATCCCGTGATCCCTACGAGTTTCTTGGATACCGAATGTCTTCTTCGATGTAGGAAGATCGGTAGGACCACGGACTAGGGACGGGCAAAGAAGAGCTAGGGAATCTCGATGTAGATAAACCTGTTCCTCCTTGCGAGTTTCGCGGATACCGAACGTCTCTTCGAAGCAAGAGCGCCGGTAGGACCAAGAACCAAGGACGAACGAAGAATATAGATTGCCTCCCCCAAACAAAAACAAAAAAAAAAGATGGGGAGAAGAGGAGGGTAGCTCCTATGTGGAAGGGAATCTTGCCCGGGCGTGCCAGATCTTCTCCCACCGCCGAAGACGAACGCCTCTCGATGTAGAGGTTAGTAGAGACGCGGAGGGGGCTAGACGAACCAAGGGAGCTTTGCCAAGATAAACCTGTTTATCCCACAATGACCATGGATCGATGGACGTGGGATAACAAAGTCGGGAACCCGTGAGGGTAAACCAGTTCGTCCCTGCGAGTTCCTTGGGTACCGAACGTCTTCTTCGAGGCAAGAGACGCCGGTAAGACTAAAAGGACCACGGACGAACGAAAAAGGGGGAATCTCGGTGTAGATATACCAGTTCGTCCCTGCGAGTTCCTTGGGTACCGAACGTCTTCTTCGAGGCAAGAGACGCCGGTAAGACTAAAAGGACCACGGACGAACGAAAAAGGGGGAATCTCGATGTAGATATACCTGTTCCTCATTGCGATGTCCGCGGATACCGAACGTCTCTTCGATGTAAGAACACCGGTAGGACCAAGGACCAATGACGAACGAAGACTAAAAGACTCCAAAAAAAAAAAAAAGATGCCAGAAGAGCACGGAGCAAAGAATGATTTTATCCCTCGGCGCTATTGGCCGGGAAGTACAAACTGAAAAACATATGTAAAAGAATAATTACAAAACTTAAGTACGAAGAATGAGGTGGCCGACGACGATCGGCTAACATCAGGTTTTCTTTTGTCTTAAACGACGAATACCAGCTCCCCAGATCAGACAGGAGGGACATCGCCCAGATTTATTTCAGGCTCACCGTTCCTTCCCGGATGGAGTCCTGGCAGACGATCGGTTTCTCACAGCCAATCAGGAGAGAGACTTGACACATCACCAGCACGGCCGAGGGTCGTGAGACGATTACCACTCACCGACAGGCCGAGGGCCATGAGATGATCATCACTATTTTTCTGTATCACGATCGGCCCCTCAGCGCCATCGTGTCCTGATTCACGGTTTGGCTCGCCCATTCCCTTCCAGGATGGCGACGACCGTCTTATGCAGTGCGATCGGCCCCTCAGCGCCATCGTACCTAGCTCACGTTCAGCTCGCCCATTCCCTCCAGGATGGCGACGACCGTCTTATGCAGCACGATCGGCCTCTCAGCGCCATCGTGTCTCTTTCACGTTCGGATCGCCCCATTCCCTCCAGGATGGCGACGAACGTCTTATCCAGTGCGATCGGCCCCTCAGCGCCATCGTACCTGGCTTCACGGTTCGGCTCGCCCATTCCCTCCAGGATGGCGACGACCGTCTTAAGCAGCACGATCGGCCTCTCAGCGCCATCGTGTCTCTTTCACGTTCGGATCGCCCCATTCCCTCCAGGATGGCGACGAACGTCTTATCCAGTGCGATCGGCCCCTCAGCGCCATCGTACCTGGCTTCACGGTTCGGCTCGCCCATTCCCTCCAGGATGGCGACGACCGTCTTATGCAGCACGATCGGCCTCTCAGCGCCATCGTGTCTCTTTCACGTTCGGATCGCCCCATTCCTTCCAGGATGGCGACGAACGTCTTATCCAGTGCGATCGGCCCCTCAGCGCCATCGTACCTGGCTTCACGGTTCGGCTCACCCATTCCCTCCAGGATGGCGACGACCGTCTTATGCAGCATGATCGGCCTCTCAGCGCCATCGTGTCTCTTTCACGTTCGGATCGCCCCATTCCTTCCAGGATGGCGACGAACGTCTTATGCAGTGCGATCGGCCCCTCAGCGCCATCGTACCTGGCTTCACGGTTCGGCTCGCCCATTCCCTCCAGGATGGCGACGACCATCTTATGCAGCACGATCGGCCTCTCAGCGCCATCGTGTCCCTTTCACGTTCGGATCGCCCCATTCCCTCCAGGATGGCGACGAACGTCTTATGCAGTGCGATCGGCCCCTCAGCGCCATCGTACCTGGCTTCACGGTTCGGGTCGCCCATCCCTTTCAGGATGGCGACGAACGTCTCTTATGCAGCACGATCAGCGCCCCAGCGCCATCGTGTCTGGCTCACGTTAGGGTCGCCCATCCCTTTCAGGATGGCGACGAACGTCTCTTATGCAGCACGATCAGCGCCCCAACGCCATCGTGTCTGGCTCACGTTAGGGTCGCCCATCCCTTTCAGGATGGCGACGAACGTCTCTTATGCAGCACGATCAGCGCCCCAACGCCATCGTGTCTGGCTCACGTTAGGGTCGCCCATCCCTTTCAGGATGGCGACGAACGTCTCTTGTGCAGCACGATCAGCGCCCCAACGCCATCGAGTCTGGCTCACGTTAGGGTCGCCCATCCCTTTCAGGATGGCGACGAACGTCTCTTATGCAGCACGATCAGCGCCCCAGCGCCATCGTGTCTGGCTCACGTTAGGGTCGCCCATCCCTTTCAGGATGGCGACGAACGTCTCTTATGCAGCACGATCAGCGCCCCAGCGCCATCGTGTCTGGCTCACGTTAGGGTCGCCCATCCCTTTCAGGATGGCGACGAACGTCTCTTATGCAGCACGTCTGCCTCTCGGCGCTGACATGCTCGAGTTCTCGTTGAGAGCTACCGCTCCTATCACATCTTGCATTCCCTCTCTCATACATTGCACCCATACATTACATGCATTCATGCATCATACCTCATACATTCATACATACACACGTGCATCTATCATGTTTATAGATGCATGGACCTCTAAGCTTCTCCGTTGGGAAGCTCGAGTCAGAGTGCCTTACTCCCGCCTGATGCATTCAGGGGGAGTGTGCCCGTGGAGGAGCACCCTTCGCCCGACCATGTCGGAAAGGGGGGTGCCTCACTGGTAGATTACGTTCAGGAGTACAGACACTCACTCATATATTATGATTATGTGAAGACACAGTTTCCAGCAAGACAGAGGAAGAGCGCAGGCAGAGTATATTTTCTCGAGCAGATTCGCGAGCTCACTACTCAAGAAACTGGGGGACTTGTGTTGGGATATATTATCCCGGCCTATTACTGTTCAGGAGCCCAAGACATTATCCAGTACGGAGCCCGAGCAGCTAGGCCCATTTCGGCCTAGCCGGCCCACTTTGACCACCAGGCCTGATATCGGCCCGTTTGGCCCATTAGGGTGGAGAGCCCCTTCTCTCCTTCCCCTATAAATACGGAGCTTAGCCTCCATGTAAAGGATCTCTTTCCTTCTCCAACTCATTTACTTTCTCTAGAATAGCTCAATACTCCATTAATGGGAGCTTGTACAATGTAATTGTGAGGAGAGTCCTAATGAGAAAGAGAGGGCTTGGACATTAGCCTAAAAAGTCCCGTGGTTTTCTCCCTTTCGGGTTTCCACGTAAAAACTGAGTTGTTCATACACATTTATACATATATTTACTATATCGTGTTGGATTAAACTCAACACTCTATCTAGAACTCCGTTGAGCAGTTTCTTGCGCTTTGGTCTTGGTATCTCTCTCAAATATTGTGTCTTGAATTTCTATCTCACCGAGCACGCACAAAAAATGATTCTCCAACTTGTATATATATATATAGCTCTCGCATTGATAGTCGTTGGCTCCTTTCCTTGATCAAAGGAATTTTGAATATCTTTCCTTGTTCAACACTTGTCATATTTGGAGCTAGAGATATTTGTTAGTCACAATCAAAAGCCTTTTAAATATGGAGCACGTTTATTATGAAGAGTAACTCATTCATGCGGCAACTCAAATATTCAAACCATGGTAATAATTTACTTGCCTTATTAAAAGATCAATCTAGTCAAATATAGATATTACCATTCAAAATATCTAATCAATTTGAATGATTACTGAAGATTGATTTTGGCAAGAAATTAAGCTTTAAAACGTCGGCCCACATGCAAGGCAACCAACCGAAAATATCCTCTTTTTTTTTTATATATGAATAGCAAGAATGCCCTTATATATAAAACTGATTTGGTCAACTAATTCAAATATGGACATGTATAGATCACGTGAGATATAGAAAACTATGCATGTGAGGAATATCATCCAAAGGTGGTCTAGTCCATTATGTAAAACGTGACATCATTCCGTTATAGGTTAGTCATCAACAAAACTAATTAATCAACATGCATAAATAGTACCTTAACTATTAGTAATGTTACATTTTGGTTCCTAAACTCTTAAATGATTCAAAACAATAATTAACTATACATAAATGTTTCGAATTGAGATTTTATTCAAATTTCCAACAAAAAAGTCAAATGTGGCTGCCAGAATTCTACACGTAAAGTCTACTTCACCTTATTTTTGTCTATATGATCACTATATAGTGACTCTACACATGAAATTTTGTTCGGTCGTCATGTAGGATTTTTTTGTCAAAAATTTGAATAAAATCTCAATTCAAAACATTTATGTATAATTAAGGTATCAATTTGATTCATTTAAGAGTTAAGGTACCAGATTAAAATGTAACATTACCAATAGTTAAGGTACGATATGTGCTATTGACCCGATCAAATAGATCTTAACATCATCCCTTGCAATTTAGTTTGTCATGATGCACATATATATCATATTGGATAATCAGAAAATATTTTTGCAGTTCGATAACTTCAATCTAATCCATTCCTTAATTATTATGCGTTGTAATATCAATTTTAGAGGGGAAGCTATAGTATTAATATATACGTACATGGGTATGACTTTGCACTTCACTTTTTGAGTGATATTGCACTTGATGTTCATTATAAAAAAAGACCTTGACTTTGCACCTTATTCCATTTATAAAAAATTTGACTTTTGCATGCACTCCATTATTTATAAAATGTTATGTAACAAAGTTAAAAATCAAAATTTCTTTAAAATGAGGTTGAAATTCAAATTCTCCCTAATATATGTATTGAGTTGTGTATCTTTGTTTAATTTGTTATGATGATAGGCGCTAAAGCTGTTGAATGCTGCTATGGGTTCAAAATCGGTTCTCAGCGATGTGTTTCTCGTGGAATTGAGTATATAGCTACGGATTCGGGCTACGGATTCATCCATCTTAATTTTTATTAGCTCTAAGCTACCTCTATCTTAGACACTCTCTGGGCTTATTTCTGTCTATTTCGCTTTCATATCTATATCTGTCTTCTTTTGCTCTGTGAAGTCGTGGTGTATGTGGTTGCATCCCAAGCCTTTAGCCTTTTGATTAATTTAGAGTTTTATGGGGTGGTTTCTCTAGAGAATTACTACTAAATGTAACGTATTTTAGAACTATGGCACCCAAGTTGACAATTTTCGCGAAGTCATTTCATTCATCTGCATGTTTTCAAAATATGTTTTCATATTTAAAACATGAAAAGATCTGATTTCGCGAAGTAGGTAATTGTTTACCTACTTCGATCTGATTTTGCATTTAATTTATCCTTCGGGTTTGGAACTAGATCCATTTTTTGTGTTGACCCGAACGGAAGCTAATATGGGCCCTTCTTGGTGTACACAATTAGATATACACAAAATGTGTACATTAGCTGTGTACATAAACAATTTGACATCAAGTCATGCTCCATGTTAAATGAATTGAATGTGTACATAGGTAATTAGGGCCTTACGGGGGTTTTGTATACAATTTAGGGAAAGTTCCTGAAATGTGTCAAAAAACGTTTGTAAATTTCAAAATAGGACTGTCATGTTTTATTCCTAAAATAGGAGTAATTACTGTCAAGTTTGGAAAATAATGCCATGTTTAAAGTCTGGTACTGCCAAAAAATGACAGTAAGTAGTCTCATTTTGGGAATTAAAAACATGACAGTCCCATTTTTGATTTTACAAACGTTTTTAGTCCTATTTAGGGTAAATTCCCTACAATTTATGTACTATTCATATATACTAAGCATTTGCATCTAACATAGATTAGGTGCCATGCTTAGGGATGGCAACGGGGCGGATCGGGGACGGTTTTACATATAACCCTACCCGCCCCGTTTGGTAATTCCCCCGCCCCATAACCGCTCCATTACCCAACGGGTAATTTTTACCCAAACCATAACCGCCCCAACGGGTAACGGGTATAACCACGGGTAACCGCGGGTAATCACTTTATTAAATGAGTCATTGATATTTCAATAAAAAATACGGAGTAATATTTTAAAATGCGAAAAATGGCATCACCTAGACGACGCTAGACTCAGACGCCACTTTAAAGTTTCATATATCTATAAGATGAGAAAGAAGACAACTAAAATTAATTTAAACCTAAAAATACTTAATCTGAAAAATAATTAATCACAAAAAATCACATAATAATCAAACAAAGCTATTAAGTCCTATTGAGAACTTTCATTCTTACACTATAGTTAGTACATCTGTTATTTATATATACACAATGAACATTAAAAATCTCATCTTTTATTAGTTGTGGGACAAATAATAGATAAGAATGTAATAAAATATAACTAAAAATAAACGGGGCGGGTACGGGGCGGGTAATGGGGCGGGCATGCATAAAACCGTAACCGCCCCATTACCCGTAAAAACAAAACGGGTATTCCCCGCCCCGTACCCATTACCCAGTCAATGCGGTTTTCCCCGTTTTGACCAGGGCGGTTCGGTGCGGATATCCATCGGATCGATCACAATTATTGCCATCTCTAGCCATGCTCAATCATAGTAGAAAATAAACAAATTAAGGCTTTTTTGATGAATATTACTCGGTACTAAATTAAATCCAAAACACAAGAAAATGACATATTTAAAAAATTTCTAAAAATGACATATTGACTTGCGAGTTCTAGTGACATCTACTAGTTACTTGAATTGTCACTATGAAATACTAGTATACTATATTCTTGTTTTACTCGTGTAGTCGTGTGACTAGTCATATTTTTGTCCAAAAAATATAGAGTCAATTTCCTAAATACGACTAAAAAGTGGCAAAATTGCACAAATAGGACTACATTTTTTAAATTCTCTTAATAGGACTATTTATGTGTGTTTGGACAAATATACCCTTGTAACATGTGAAATGTTTTAATTAATAATAAAATCATAAAAAATAATAATAATTGAAAAAAATACTAAAAATCGTAAAAAAATAATAGAAAATTAATAAAAATATTTTTTAATAAAATAAAAAAAAATATTTTTTAAAAAATAAAAAAAAAATAAAAAATCATAAAATAAAAAAAACATTACCACCCCTGCCACCCCCAGCACCACCAGCTCCCATCATCGGAGAAAAATATGCCAACATTTTAAATAATGTCATTATAATGACATATTCAATGAAAATGTTGGCATATTGAAGAGTAATTATGCCATCTTTTTGGCATTTTCAGAAAAAGATGATATTTTTTACCAAAAGTGGAAGAAATTTCACCAATCGGAGGTGGTGGTGCTGGGAAGCGGCGGGAGGCGGTGGGAAAGGTATCTATAATTTTTTTTCATTTTTATGGGTTTTTACTATTTTGTATTATTTTTTAAAAATAAATAAAAAAAATAAAAAAAATAAAAATTAAATTTTTTATTTTATAAATGTTTTGTAAATATTTTATAATTTTTTCACGTTTTTTATGATTTTATTATGAATTAAAGCATTTCATTATGAATTAATACTTTTAGGGGTATTTAGGGTAGAAAATCAATGTTTAGTCCTATTTAGGGAATTTAAAAAGAAGTAGTCTTATTTGTGCTTTTTAGGAAGTCATTAGTCCTATTTAGGACAATTTCCGAAAAATATAACTAGTCATCTTCGTGTCCGGGAATACTCTGTTAATAATATACGAGTACATGGCATTTTTAAGTTAATAAACGTACATAATTAAGGTAGCATAACCAGCTATTGATTGTACCGTGAAAACGCAATCACAAATAAACTTCTTGCTCAATTGAAAATTGAAAAACAAGCTGATAAGTTACATCTATCTCTGATAAGTTAAATTATGTACGGAGTATAATTAACTCCACGATTCAACCATTACATGACTGAAGTCCAATGCTTACAATTCTTACAACGCACAGAAACAAATTTATGCAGATATGGAGTGAAAGAAAAATTGAAAATCAAGCGTAGGGCAATACATATTGAAACCATTTTAGGCTTGTGTTCAACTGCATACAACTGGGAGCCTTGTTTTTGGGTGTTGGGAAAAACAAATCTCAATGAAGAATAATGAGGAAACACTAAAAAAACACGGGATTAAATTGACACAGAATTTGGTATGGATTTTCAACTTTTCGTACCAAATAGTTCAATCCAAAGTGTTTTTGACATGAATTTTGCATAATCCCTGCTAATATCCGTGTCAAAATCCCTGTCAATCCCGTGTTTTTTTTGTAGTGAAAAGTTAACCAAAAAATATCAATTGAAAGTTGTTATCACTATTTTCCAATACCAAAAGTCAAAAACTTGAGTACAAAATATTATTGAGAAATTAAAGGATATGATACTTTGTTTATGTTAAGAATTGAAGTTAAACCGTGTACGACGTATACATATTACGTATTAGTATGATACTTTGTAAAAAAACAAAAAAAAAATAGTATGATACTTTGTTTATTAAAAGTTCAAAGTTCCAATTTAAATAAATGATACTTTGCTTATTAAAAGCTCAAAGTTCCCATTTTTTATTATTTACTCCGGGAATGTTACTGTTATATAAGGTACCATATGATAATATTAATAATGAGTTAATCACGGTTGGGAAAAGTATTTAAAAGATCAATTGCAGATACGCAAAAATGTTACGATTTTCATACATACTCCGATCCGTCCAGACAAAATTCCAAAAACAATTTTTAAATTCTTCTGTATAACTGGAGATATATATACTTCCCTAATTCCCTTTATTCATGAATATTGATAATGCCTGGATACATTACTCCGTGTATATCTTTGCTACAATATAAGAGAAAATAGGAGAATTATTATTGAATTCAGTATCATCATCATCATCAAATTACTATTGGTCTCTTAATTAATTACTTGTGATTCTTGACCTTTAAATTAGGGCATAAGAAATCAAATTAACAAAATTAATTTTATTAAAAATAATTATATTCAAATGTATAGTATTAAGAAAACTGCACATGAGATTTGCAAAAGTCATAGAACATACTTCGTACCATACAATATCACACACTCGGATCCCTAAATTTTTAGACAAACCAAAATACGAAGTATATGTGAAAATTTTGTATATAGTGCATAACACTAGAGGTCTAGAGCTATACAATAACTACTAACAAAACAGGCATGTAGCAATATTAATGATTAAATAGCTTATGTCTTTTCTCAAAAAAAAAAAAAACTTATGGCCAATATTTGCTATAGCCGCCAACAATGAGTCCGGTAAGGTTATTCGGAGCCCCATATTGATATGGTTCAACATCCCATCCCGTAGGCTTTATATCCTCTATTCTCATACTTTCCTGCACATTCTTCATCCCACAGTAATAATCACCATCTTCTTCTTCCTTGTCACTCTCAGCTATGTCATTCGCTGACCCGAAGAGACCATCATCATCAAAATCGTTGACTTTGACTTTATCATCAGATTCATCACCATCAATAGTTTCATCATCAACGGGCGGCTGAAAAGAAAGTGAAATTCCGGGATAAGTCGTCGGAGGGCCGTCGGAGAGCTTGAACCTGGCGGCATAAAACATGGCCTTATAATAGTTGAAGGCCTCCTCCGCCGCCGTGTCGTCCCACTGCATGATTTTATCGTCGAGATGAACGTACTTCTTGGCTTCGAGAAACTTATTCCAGGAACGGTATAAGCCACCAGTGGCTTGGAGGCAAAACTCCCTCTCCCACGGCTGTGGAACCACCGGCCGCCACACTAATTTTTTATTCCTCATCATATCTCTCACTTTTTCTTGGTAGGGTTGATGAGATCGAATATAATGATGGTGGCGGTGCTTGGCAAACGTCCCTATTTATAAGCAATGATAGTTGAGTGAATGATAAGAAGATATTGGGGTGATCGGTGCTTGTACTCTTTAATTAGTGGGTAGAAGATATACAACAAGCCAGTGGGGGAAAACACCTATCAACATATAAATGTACTTCTATTTATATATAAGAAAAGAGATAGCTCATTAAAAGACATTTCTACCCTCTCAAATCCTACGTGTTTGACTCTCCCGTTTTTACGCCCTTCACCTCTTACGGCCACGTGGCTTCTTAATTTGCAAGCGTCATGTTCATTCACGACGAAAAGGCCGTTGCTTCATCCCCCAAAAAAACAAAAACGCTCCACGATGATTGCTTGCAACAACAACCCTAAATCCTTTTCCAGTTATACGGAGTACTTTCACAGGCTGTTTCCGAT